CGGCAATGGCGGAGTTCTGATGGAAAATTTGAGGAAAAAATCGACCGCGAATAGGAGTGGCAGGGGCGTTCTGCATGAACTAGCGTGAACCATTGTGACTAAAAGAGAACTCAGTCTGAAGTCTTAGCTCTTGGTATCCAAGTCGATCTTCATACCCATGCTTACTTTTCGGTCATAAGTCATGGACCATGACCGTAAAACTGCGATTGCGGGTAGAAACGGGTGAAATGAGCTTCTTAAGATGAGTCGTTGGCTTTACGCCTCTCGAGGGGTCCTGAATAGAGGCACTGCTTCTTCAGATCGGGAAGTCGGAGCTGGTTTGGGCATGTGCTGCGAATGCCTCCTGAAGGGAAAGCGAAGGAACTATTTTTGCCTAGCCGACAAGAAGAAGCGGATGACCAAGATTAACCCGGTGCATATATATGAATAGACTATGCTCTCGACTCCAGTCGTTTTGTGCCGAAGGTCAGACTTTGGCAAAGGATCGGAAATATTGGAAGCACTCTCTGAAGGGTCAGAATCCGTGGCCCGAAAGGAGAAGCGGCTAGGAAGATAAAGATGTGCACGTATATTAGAAATTGGCAGCTATTTCACAATCAAAGTTTTCACTTTTGATGTGTATACAATTACGGCTTCAACAGTGCTAAACAAATCTCAAAATCTGATTTAGATTGTGAATACGATTAAGCTAGCAGACTGTTTTGATGAAGGTAGTTACTCTTTCCAAATTACAGAACACAGCTGGCTTTCAACCGAAAGCACGTTATATCGAATGTACCGCAAACCTAACTTTTCGACTTTAATCTTTTCGACCAAAGCATGGGGCGAGTGACACTACAAATAATGGTACGAGTCGTCGCAAGAAGATATTTACAAGGACGTATTATCAACCAAACATATAAAGTTTCCATTATCATTTTCTGTGAATAATTAAAGTCTGTACATTCACATTAAACTACTAACGTTAATGTTTAAAAGTTACGTTTGACATTAATCATAATCATCGTCAGCTGGTTCAAAACTGAACGAATACAAGAGCAGAACAACATGATTCTATGATAGATGGAAAAAGGACATGTTAAATTCAATGGAGATGGCAGCTGAAAGAATGTCTTTTAAAATCAAAAACGCTTAGCAAAAAGCAGAAGGCATTCAGAAAGTGGGTCATTTAATTTTATAAGCATTTTTATTTTAACTTTGGCCGTACCTGGAATATAGAATGACGTTTGTCGAATCTTGGCCTTTGGCTAGCAGGTAAATGACGATAACTCGGATCTATTTCGCTAAGAAACACGAGTCCATCACCTATGTCAAAAAATGTGCTTATATAGATAAAAATACGTTGCAAAACAATTACGAAGTAGGCAGCAGATTATGTACAACGACTGTCCCCAGAGGAACAATCCTTCACTGACCATAGTACTTGGAAGCATTGGCTGCGAGGAAGGTTGACAGCGTTCATGAAATATGTACTCCTCAGGGAGAAAGTAATACTGAGGAACGATCGTCTCTAAATCATCAGTAATGTGATCGTCACCAGGTTAGAAAGGCCAGTATACGATCATCGCGCACAACCAGCAGGGGCTCTAACAGTTCAGAGTATATACGGACCTGATCAGCGTTTCCAGCAAATATGCCTAAAACAGTACATTATAAAATGAGAAAACATTAAATAAGAAAAATGCAAATTGTGTCATCAGATCAAATGATCGACGATGTCAAAGTTAAAATAGGTGGCGAAACATAATTGAACAGCGATTTTTATGAAACTAAAGACTTAAAGGAAAAAGTCACTCACTTAAAAGTGAGTAATTTTTGGAGACCAAGAAGGAATCAATAATGAAATACGAAAATATAACGA